GACTTCTGGGGCTGAAGGTGTGAGCCGGAATGAATGGAAGGGCCTCAGGGTCTAATGCCGAGCGAGTGTTTGTCTGTTTGTTGTGCTAAGGTCAGGTCCAGATCAGGGTCTGGGATTCACCCAGAGATGCTGGAATCTATAGTTAGTTTACAGGGGGAAGTGTAGCTCCAGCAGGTGAGCTCAGCAGCCTTCGTGGCAGTTGGAGCTGCCCTGGAATGGGTCTTTCCACTGTGGCTTGAAGTGTGTCTTTCTCTGGTTTCCGTTGACTAAGATCCAGTCACCTAAAGGAGGTTGTGCACTGGCAATTCATCGGCTGCAGGTTCAGTTTCTTGGGCCTGGGAATGAATATACTGCAGGGCATCATTTAACTCTTTCATATACCCTACCAGTGAGGCTCGAAACAACCTCAGGACGTCTTTCCAAAGGAGTCCATTGGCTTTTGGCCTGTGGGATGTTTCAAACCAGAAAACAGCAAATTATGACTAGTGCCCACAGGCAGAGATTGGTTCTAGACAAGCCATCTACAAATGTGAAAAGAACTACTTTTCACTCACCTGGTACACGGACAGAATTCCTTGGATTCTGTGAAGAGCAAATGGGGCACGTGGCAAAATCTTTGTCTGCAATGGAGGGAACGCCTGGAGCAAGCCTTTCTTTCTTCTTTTTGGCACATTCCATATCATATCCCCTTTGGCCATGGAGTGTGCCATGGGATAATATATGCAGGCCAAAATCTGAAATAAGAACTTAGATGCTACCGAAGAACCACTGGGATGGTGCTAAATAGAATCAGAGGGCAAAGGGGAACAGTCTTCATGCCATGCGTTCCTTTGGATCTGTCTTTGTTTTCCGGAGAGAATTGCTCAAGAGGATTGAGCAAGCTTCTTGGAGAAAATGGAGAGAACTACTGGTGGGGTGGGGAAGGAATGCAGCAAGGGTACTGCAGCAGGGATCCTGGGTCCACGGAGGGCTGCGTGGCATGCTGCAGGGGCGACTCTCACGCCGGCGGCAGAAACGTGGCCTGAGCTGTTGGAGTGAGAAAGCGAAGGTGCATTACACAGAGAAGCTCAGTAATCAACGGGCCATCCCGGAACACCACCCCGAAGCAACTTATATATTAAACTGGTATCAGATGAGTGGTAATGGGAAAATAGTGTGTCGTATGCAAATACAATGTGCAATGTTGCGTATTTATATCATCACAACATGTTTGCCCGCCTACCTGTTCCCATATTTAAAATGTACACATGCACCCGGGCCTAACTCCATCCAACATGTTCTCTGAAGACTCATTCATTCAAAGCATTTCTCTCCTGGTATACTCTTAAGTCAAAATGCTACGAGAGCAGCTCACAGGAGGAACAATCATGCAGTACCCATCTTCTGTCTCACAATCTAAAAAGACATGAGACTCACGGAAAGAGAAAGGGATGGAACATGGGAGGGGGGAGCATGCTGGTGTCGCTTGATTCTGTTGCCCACAATTGTGCGTATCCACAGCCTGAACCTGGGTGGAGAAGCTTGCAAACAAGTTCTTCAGGTACGTGGAGGTGTTTCTTGATCCATCTCGCACATCTGGAACTCTTTTGAAATTGAAGGAGTATTCCATAGCCTGGTGGGTACTAATTTTCCTCCCACTGCTACACTGAAACCACCAAATAATAAGTCAGTGACTACTGTATCTCTGAAGATTTGCACATGTGCCTCGTATATGGCTGTCTCACCTGAGTGATTTTCTAGGTATGGTTTTGTTATACTGGGGCTGCTATTTCTGACAGAATTTTGAAAAATGCTTTGGGGGCAGGAAAAGTTGAATATAACTTGAAAAGATGTACGCCATGTTGCTCCTTGGCTTGGGTAGCCTGGAGTATTTCTAGTGATGGTGGTGGGGACCTGGTTCATAATTTCACTCATTCTCATTACTAGGACTCTCATTTATTTAATTATCTATTTGTTCAATTTGCATTTTCCCATTGTCCATTCATTAATATGGCTTTTGTGTCATTATTCACATTTGTCTGTTTTTCCCTTCTGTGTTCTACAATTTGTGCATGTTTGTGAATGTGTGTGTGTGTTTGTGTGCACGTGTGTGCAGGAGGGGCACTTGCAGCAACACAGTTGACTTCAGTTGCCCCCTTTTTTCCGGGAATGGCCCAGAAAAGTGGAGTTCAGGACTTTCTGGGAGTAAAAATGGCACCAGTCAGAAATGGCCATGTAAAAGCCAGCTTTGCTGCCTCTGGAGTCAGGCAGGAATGAAGAATGAATGGGTAGAAATGAGGGACCCAGATGAGACTTACATTCATTTCGGAATAATGTAAATGGATCACATCCAGGTCACTCTTTAATTGTCTTTATGTATCCTTGGCTTTAACACTCTGTGTGGGACAAGGGGCAACTTTCTTTGTGACATTTGTGATACTGGAACAACCTATCCTGGGCCACACAACCAAAGGGGGGGGGGGGCGGATCACACCCCTTGACAAAGGGGGCCTTGTCAAGGAATGATGTTTTGTCTTTTAGGCTTTTCTTACATCTGAGCTGACATTTCTTTCTCTTTTCCTTACATCACTCCCACTTTATTTCATAGTTTTCCTCTTTCCATTCCACATTATTTCATATGTTATGTTTCATTCATCCATTTTCTTAAATCTCTGTTTCTTTCCATACACTCCTGGTTTAGTATATTGACACCTATAGCATATTTCAATTCTAGATCTATGACGTGCCCTTTTGGAGAGTTGTGAGCCCTTCCTGACTGGTCCATGACCTGATCAGACATTTATATCCCACCAGAACACAAGAATATATCCAGCAACCCAGAAGCACAGACCAACTCCCAGCAGGATTCCTCTGGCAGTACAGTAAAGTTCGGGTGCCTAAGGTCAGGTTTTGGCACTAGCAGCTTTGGTTGTCCTTGGTGATGACCCCTGCGAGGAGAAAGATGAGTTTGACATTCTGATACTCCAGGATTTCAGCAGGTTTTGATACTATTGACCATAGTATCTGGGATAAGTTGAGCTTGGAAAGCTGAGTGGTTATGCTTCTACTTGGAGGGCTGACTCCAGAAAGTGGTGCAAATATATTAATAAGGTTTCCTTCCTCTGTATTTTGCATTTTGATGACTTTCTAACTGTTCCTTTAATTTTTGTCTGGTTTTTTTATGTTGGATTATTGAAATGCTCTGCATGCCTCCTTTGACTTTTCTATGCAACACTAAACAATATAATTAAATTGGCAAATATTAAAGGTTAATTAAAGGTATGTGCTTTCTTGGCACGTTAATTGTACATCTGCCAGCACTTTCCCAGTCACCCAAATCTAAATGGAGATCTGAGATGCTAGGGAACTAAAAGGGTGGGAAGATGCTTTGAGTCATATGCGTGTCTTGTTACTGCTGCATGGCAAATATACCTTCCATGCATACCTGCCACAGCTGATGCCTCTTTTACGTTCCACACATCTGCAAGAGAAGGCACCTTCGCCTATTTTACCTTGCTTCATTCAGCTGGCATGCAAGGCACTTCTTCATCATCATTTTTTTAAATGATGTTTAACATATAAATTATTTCCTCGTGGCTATCGGTGGAAAGTCTGGCATTTCCCTAGACAGCATCAGTATTCACTACAGCAGCCTAGGGTGTTTTCAGTAGCATAGTGGTTATCACGTTCACCTCACACACCAAAGGTCCCCGGTTCAAAACCAGGCAGAAGCAGCAAAAGTATTTGCACATGGTAGGCATGTCATGAGTGGAGCTGGCTGGAGCCAAGGGTCAGCCTAGATGGCCCAGGAGCCCCCTTCTGACTCGCTCAGTTTCTGTGTTTCACAACTCCGCTCTATACCACAGCACCACTGTGTTGGGTAATGGGACATTCAGAAAGGCAGAAAGGAAAACCCTCGTTTGAGGGACATTCTAATCCTCCCTCAAAGAAAATGGAAGCAAAAGCCTTAGTAAAGCTTTGGGTTCTGTGCCTCACATGGAGAAGGCCAGTGACAGAGGCCTGCTAGAGGAGCATATTCCTCAGTCTTGTGCTCTTATCTACAAAGTAAGAGGGAAACAGCAGCATAAGCAGAACTCTGCTGAATCAAACTGCCTGGAGGATTCTCATACTTTTAACCAGACTTTAAGCTAGCTGGCTTGTAATCTTCCAGAACCCCCAGAATCTCTTTTTAAAAACTGGTGTGACATTAGCTCTCTAGTGCAAAAGCTGATCTTAGGGACAGGTGGCATATTTTGTTAGATGAACAGTAATTTCGTATTTGAATTCTTCAAGATCTCTCGAATGGATAATCCCACCTGGGCCCGGTGATTATTAGATTTCAATAAGGCTAGAAGTTCTATTGTCACAAGAACTTGCTGTTGTTCCTCAGACTCTCTTCCTGAGAGCCAGTTCAGCCACCGGTCATCTGTCCTGCAACTTCTGCAGTGAAGGTGGGTGGAAAGGGTTCATTCAGCTTTTCCACCATCTCCTTATCATTTGGTAGCACTCTTAGCTCCTTTCTCATGTAATGGTCCAGTTGCTCACTGGCTGGTTTTTCCTTCTGATATATTTAAGGAATATTTATTTTTGTTGATCTTGATGTTGTTAGCAAGATGTCCTCAAAATGCCCTTTTGTATCTTTCATGGTCTGCTCTTATGAGCTGCTTGTACAAGCTCATGTTCCCAGTTGTTTTCCTCATTTGGGCAAGGCTGGCATTTTCTGAAGAAAATTTTCTTTTCCTTGCGCATTAACTATGTTGCTTACCTTTCAATTAAAGCTTTTTAAATCTCGGTTATACTAAGGCAATAGTGTAAGAACTGTACAGCTCCGGTGTACTTTTCCTTGCCTCCCCCTTGAGAGCAGGGCTAAAAGCAGAGGACAATTCAATTGTGAGCCCCAGTTCTATTAAACACCTCTCTCTTTTCCGTTTCTCCCAATATCTGACTTTATGCTCTTCAACTATCGTCAGATCATTTTCATCTGCAGGCAGCCAAGAAGAACTGGACTGGACCGGACAGGCATGGAGCTCTTTCTGGCTAGGACATTCCAAAGGCTCATGAGCTTAATTGTTGGCGTCTTCATGCTTACCTTTCTTACAATATACAACCTGGGGCCTTCACTCACAGTTTTCAGGATCATGATATGGTGAGTACCTCTCTTGGAAGAGATGGCAACCAGGCCTTGGTGAAGCAGCTTGCTTTGCTTCACGTTGCCCCGTCACAGGGATAAATAACTTGTGGTTTTCTAAATGCTATCCGACTACAGCTCCGTTGACAAGGGCTGATTGTATTTAGAGTCCTGCATAACTGGCTTGAAGGCTGGGCTGACTTATACCCATTTTCACAGATGGATAAACCAATTTTGTCAGCAGAGCCAGCAGAAATCCTAAAAATCTGGGCGGAAAGGCATTGATCAGTACACAGTATGTTTCTTGCACAAAATTGCTTCTCCACTCATGTTTCTCATTTTTATGCTTTTAGGTACAAACATCAGAAAAGGGGTGTGAGGGTGAAATATGCTGAGCACGAGGGCTACAGGTTCTGCTACTTCTCCCGAGGGGAGCCTGGAACCCGGCCATCTGTCCTGATGCTTCACGGGTTCTTATTCAACAAAGACATGTGGCTAAACACAATCAAAGTAGGTTCCCGTTTTTTCCTGGTTTGGACCGTGCTGCTGCCAAGTCAAGGCTGATCCTAGATATATTGACAGAGATGAAAAGGGTCTGTGATGTTGCAGAGACCCTCAATTCGGTGGAACTTGTGTGAGGAAACTTCCCGCTGCATTCTGGCCCAAATGCCCACCTCTCTTTGTTGCCTGGCCCATCACTTGGTACAGCTGCCTTGGCAGAACAGGAAATATTCTGATATAGGACAGGGCAGGATGATGGTCAAGAGCTATTTGTGTGCAGCTGTTCATGTGATAATATGGACAACTGCTCTCATCTCTTTCTATCGCAGTGGTGCCAGCTGTCCCTATCCTGTATGCTAATAATGAACTTGAACCCTCTCTGTAGATCCTAATGTGGCCAAAATGGCACTCGCTGTGCACTGATGAAAAGCATAAGCAGGCACGTGGGATGCCAAGGTTTGTAGAAGCGCAAACAACCTTTGCAAAGGGAAAAATCCAGCCTGCGGTGACTGAGTACCCTCAGCCGGCACAGAATCCTGGCTGACTGTTGGGGGTGATGGGTGGAAAGCTGGGGGAAGTCTAACCAAGTGTCCCAGGAGAGGATGCCGCTAGCTGGAACTTGAAGCAGGAACACTCTGCACTGCAACGGTCTGCCGCAGTTCCTTCTGATACTGAACTTGTGTGAAATCTGCAAGAGAGTGACAGACACCCTCAACAGGAATCCTCAAGGCTTATGATTTTCTCTGCTTGTGTCTTGTAGCTGCATATTCTTGGACATCTTTCCTCTGTCAAGGCATATCTGCTAGATCAGGGGTGCCTCCTTTCATTTCTCCTTTCATTTCATTTCATGTCCAATAGCAGGAGTTCTCTGGGCAGTTCAAACAGTTCATAAACTTTGCCTGCTGTGGTGTCCAGGAAGGTTAACAGTTATACATGTTGGTAGTGGAGCTGCACAGTTAATATTACTTTCCTGGAGTAGGATAACCTACTATTTTTAAGCTGATGTGAATTGTATAGAAAACACACTGAAACCAGTTCCAACTCAGTCCTGCTTTAGTATGATCTGTACTTTGGTACATTCAAATGGGGAAAGTGAGTATTTCTGCATGTATTTTAAGAAGTGCACACCTTCCACTTTTTGATAAAGTGTGAAAATGCGTATAGGGGGATCCGTGCCTGCCAAAGTGGGCATTCTTTAAAAATTCCAAACACAATGGTATATTTGGAAATTTGCTAAAAATTTCTTGTCAACATAATTCCTGCTTGCATGTACATGTGTTCATATGACTGGCAAACAGAAATGAAATTCTCGGGTCTCCCTGGCCCGTGTTACTGATGCCAGCTTTTCACAGCTCTTCCCCCAGGACCTGCACGTGGTCTGCCTCGACATGCCTGGCCATGGAAGAACCACCCGCTTGCTGGGAGAGAGTTATGCAGCCGCTGATCAGGCGAAAAAGATACACCAAGTAAGGCCATGCTGCTTGTCACAGAGCCACTGCATCTTTCAAAGAGGAGACACATCTGTCAGCTGCACTTCCCTCCTCATTCAGAGGGTTATTTTTGCCCCATTGATGAAGAAATGTGTGAATTTTGGTAAATCTGCACAAAAATGAACCATACAAAAGTTTCACCAATCTACACTGGCCAAACTCATCAGGTTCTGCTCTTTGCAGCCTGGAGAGGGCCATGTGGTCTGCCCTATAGTTGTCACAAGAAGAGGAGCCTGTTGGTTACTGGGGGAGAATGGTGGCAGCCCTAATTCAGCATCCCACACATGACCGAATGCACAGGAATTCCAAAACAAAATCCTGAGCTAAATACACAAGAAGTCCTCTCCCTGCCTGGTGGAAAAGTCTGCAAGTTTTGCTTTCTCCTACATTCAAAAATTTTAAATCTCTAGCTCTTTCCTTTTTATTTATGAAAAATGCAATGTTAGGAAGTACTTTTTTAAAGGAAAGAAAAAAACTAAATAAGAACTTGAAGGACAGCATGTGAGTGGTTCTACTAAGAATCCCTCTTGCTCCCCTGCTCCTGATTCGGTTCCTGTACCAAAGACTAAAGACGATCGTGAAACATTGAAACTGACAGGTTATTAGAACTGGGGCACACAGTGTTAAAGGCTGTGCATTTTTACAGTGATTTGTCAACATAATGCATTATAAATTTACCATCCATTCCACTGAATATTTTGATGACCTTGGTACTTGCAAGTTCAGCAATATGGTATATACATCCTGTACAATCATACAGACAGAAGGACTGCAGCAAATCTTTTCCATCCCACATATCACTCAAAACCTAACAGGCAACCATGTCTGGCCAGGCAGATCTCTGAGCCTCTCAGACTATGAAAAATGAGAATCCACAACCTTTCCATGCAGCATGTTCCTTTGCTAAATTGCTAATTTACTCTAGACATTTGCTTTTAAGAGTGGAAAATACGCAACAAGAGGAGGCTGTGTGGCCTTGGGTGCTACACATTTCCTTTGTGCCACTGTTGTCTCTGCTCAAGCAGGTTTTTTAAGCACTACCCAAACATGCATTATTTCTTTGCTACAGCAATAGGCACATGAGTGTGTATGCCGTGCCACCTCTAACACTCTGGGGAAAAGGTATTGTCTATCTCCATTCCAAGTGAGAATGGCTTCCCAAGTTCATGTACCCTTCCAAGCCTACACAGGTTGAAGGTTAGTCCCCATACAGTCTATCCCATGTACCCTTTGAGGGTTCTTCTGCCTGATGCCCACCTGACACTTTCGCCAGCCTGCTGCAACTCAGCTTTCCAAACATATCTGCAAAGCAAATGCACGGAATGGCAGATAGTTGCAAACGGCAGATTTTGCTAATTAGATGGTGTAAGAAAAAAAACAGAAAAGCTGCAAGGATAAAGTCGTAATAATGGTAGGAGCCTGTGCGCATCACCAGGGGAAGGGGACAGAGCAAGAGACAATGGGCAGGGAGACGAGAGGACGGAAGTCCCCCAAGCGGAGCGCTGTGCAGTGGCCCTTGGGCGGCCAGCAGACCCATTCCTCCCGGAGCTCCCCGGGCCGAGCAGGAGAAGCAGCAGCAGGCCCTTCTGCAAGTCCTCCTCGCCTTTCCCGACCCATCCTGCGTCACCCAGAAACAACTAGAGGGACCCGAGACGGTCTTGGGAAATGCTATCAGCCAGTACTTCAGAGCTGGAATCACAGCGTGCCTCTTTTTTCATTCACGTTTCAGTTTGCCAAATGTGTTGGCCTGAGCAGAAAGCCTTTCCACCTGGTCGGCATCTCCACGGGCGGGATGGTGGCTGGGGTTTACGCCGCGCTCTACCCGTCGGACGTCTGCGCCTTGTCCCTCCTTTGCCCAGCTGGTGAGTTTTTGAATCCAGTGCTTTCAGGGGGACCCCAGGAAGGGCTTAAGGGCTGCCTCCTATGCATGTCAGGCAGAAGAAGAGTTCTCCAGCTCTCAGCATTTCCCATCCAGCACGGATAGCACCCTAAGTGCCCAAAGAGGCCAGGGCCCCCCGCCCAGTCTCCAAATTAGAGGAGCGTAATAACTCAGGCCTGGGTCTGAGGCGGGCCCGAAAAGGGATGCTCATTGCACATTACAGACTACACGGCTCTCTTCAAGATCATGACAGAAGATGCAGAGCAAACATTTGGAGCAGGAGCTAACTCTGCACCTACCCAGCCCTGCCAGCTGTGTTCACCCTGCTCCTCTCCTTCTGCCAGCTTTGCCCCAACAGCGCCACTTTTTCAGGTGTCCCTCTTGATGCTCTTGATGCTCCTCCATCTGTCAGTCAGAAAGCATTGCATAGTCTCTCTGTCATTCCCCCTTAACAGGATTTTGTGGTAAGAAACAAACAACAAACCAAAGGCAGCAGTGGCAAGGAAACAGGAGGCTTACAAAGGGCAGCTGACTTGCTTTGCAGATCCTGGATCCAAGGCAGGCTACTTTCATAATAAAAGCCCTCTCTGGAGGAGTTCTGCATCTCTCCTTCGCCTGCACCCAGCCTGCCTCGCCTCCCCACCGCTCTGGCAACAAACAAACTTGGGAAGCAGGCTTAGAGCCCCTATCCCGGGGTGGGTCCACCGCCACGTTCTTCCCCAGCTGTGCATTCCTTCCCACCTCCTAGGTCTGAGGTACCCAGCCAGTCGCGACACCATCAGGCGCCTGCAGCAGGAGCAGCGACCCGCTAGTGCGGACGACTTCCTCAGGCACGGCTTGTACCGCCCCACCCGAACCGCTCTGCAGGTGAAGACGCCGCACTGCAAAGGCCGCACGCTTGGCCGACGATCCCTCACGTCCTCGCGAGTCTCTCTTTCCGTCTGTGGCTGCGTTCCTCTGCCGGCAGTGTGGGCAGGGAGGCACCCAATGGAGCCTGGAAAAGCAGCTTAGGGAATAGACTCTGCATACGGGGGTTGAGGGATCCGCAAAGCACCTGTGTTTGGAGCCGCCGCACCGAACCAGAAATAACGCCGTGCTCGACTTCAGGACAGGGCCAGCCCTCCCAGAAGCAAACCCAGGCGTCCGCAGGGGGCAGTGGCGCTCCGGGAGCAGCAAACTGTGCCGCCACTGCCTTCCCGTCGGTCCCTGCCGGAAGGGCCCGCTGCTGCGGCCCCATTTTTCCTCCGGGAAAAGCCTGGCAGCTCCTCTTCTGGCAATCGCTGCAGCGAGAGCGCGGCCGGCGGGCCTTTTGGGGGTGGGCAGCCACCCACCCTGGCTCCCCCCCCTTGCACGCCCACCCGCCCTGCCACTGCTACCTGCTCTCTCTGGGGAGTCGTGCAACGGGGGGAAGGGTTTGCTCTCTCCCCAGAGCGTGCCCGGTTCTCCCCTTGCTGCCGCCCAGAACCCGCCCATTGAGCCCTACTGCTTCGGAGCTGGAGGAAAGCCAGGTGCCTCATGGCCTGCCCTGTGCCCCCCAGGCTAGAGTGCCCCCTTCAGGCAGAGGAAGCTTCCGCACCATCGGTACTGAAGAACAAATCAGTTGCCAGGCTAGGACCGCTTTTGAAGGTGGATTTGCGGCTGGGGCATCCTGTTCTCTGGCTCCAGCAGCCGAGTAGCTTGCACTGACCCTGCCCGTCCTCCCTAGAAGACGCCTCGCCAACTTACACTGGAAAAAACCAGGTCAGAAGTCTTGTGTTAAGCTGCTATTCTTTCACGGGACAACGGCACCTTTATTGAACAGGAGGAGGCTGGAGTGGGAAGAACTGACCTGTCGCATTTAACTACTTTCAGAAACGAGCACGTTTGGGCTGTGCTTCCCGCTGCTCTGACCCCGTTCTTTTTCCACCCTAGCATCTAAAGGGATACCTTGAAGATACCAGCCCACACGAGGCTTTTTTTATCAAATGTAAGTACAATGGAAGGAGTGGCATCCATTATCCGCCATCGCCATTTCACAGGCAGGCGCAAACCTGGGTTCCCCATCAAGGTAACACCGAGCAGGGAGGAGCAGGCAGTCCTACGGCTTAACTGAACTACAACAGCCTTTTTGAGATGCGATAACCAAATGCGCTACAGCGTTCCAAGCGTGGTTACAACACAGATTTACATGAGGGCATTACAATAGCAACAGTTTTAGTCTCAATTCCTTTCCCAATTGTGTCTTCACAGAATTTTCTTTTTTTTTACAGCAGCTGCATGTTGGATTGACTTTGACATTAAGTGATCCATCACAATCCCTAAATCTCTTTCTGTTAAAACACCATGAGATCAGTTCCCATCATCATGTTCGCGAAGTGGGATTCTTTCGCTCTGTGTGCATCACTTTAGCCTTGGGCATAGCATTTGCCATTTTGATGACCCAATTTGGGGAGATCCTTTGGGAATTCTTTGGTGTCCCCTATTTATTTATTTATTTATTTATTGGCTTATTATCCACTGAATCAGCCCAAAGGCCCTCTAAGTAGATTAGACTCTGTAAACATATAACAACAATAAAACCTGTGATTAAAACACAATATACAAAAACAATAAAACAAAACAGTGCATAGCCGAGGGCACATTGATTTAAAACTATTCATATTGGCAACAGCTTACCAGTTATCCAAATAAGATCAATTATTAAAATGCCGAGACAATGAAACTGTTTTTGCCCGGCCTACAAGATCGCCTGGCGAACTGCTTTTGGGAGGCTGCTCCACGGGTGGGATGCAACTATGGAGAAGGCCCCTTTTCCAGTAGCCGTCCCTATTCCCTCCTTGGAGGACGGCTCTTTCAGAAGGGCCTGTGAAACAGATCCTCGGAGCCCAGCAGATACGCGTGGGAGCAGGTGGTCCTTCAGGTTCCTTGTACCCGAGCCATTTAGGGCTTTATATGTTAAAACGAGCACCATGAATTGGGCTCAGAGCTCAACTGGTAACCAATGAAGATGGTAAAGTATTGGTGTCACATGGTCCTGCTGGTACCAGCAGCGGCACTGCTCTGTTCTGTTGAAGTTTCTGGACCGTCCAGAAACCCCCTAAGCTACAAACCCTGTCCTTCAAAGGGACTGTGACCTCATCCAGGACTAGTAGGATGTCCTCCCTCTGGGCAGATGGACCATTCACCAACAGCACCTCCACCTTATCTGGATTGAGCTTCAATTTGGCCCCTGTCCAGTCCATTATTGAGCTCGGGCAGTGATTCAACATGGAAGCCGTCTCACCTGGATTAGGTGAAAAGATGTGAAGCTGGGCGACACCTCAGCCCCCACCCCCAAAGGACCCCACCCAGCAGTTTCATGTATGTGTTGAGCAGCATGGGGGAAGAGCATAGAGCCCTGAGGAACCCCATAGCGGAATTGCCATGGGGCAGAGCAACTGCCCCCCCCCCGCGCACACAGTCGGCCAGGTGGGAGCAAACCCACTGTGGCACAGTGCGCCCAACTCTCAGCCCAGCCAGCTTGTCCAGGAGGACACCATGACTGATGGCATCGAAAGCTGCTGAAAGGTCCAGGAGAACCAACCGGGCTGCATTCCCCGCTGTCCCTCTCCCGGCAAAGGTCCTCCCACAGGGCCAACAAGGCTGCCTCCATTCCAAATCCCAGCCTGAAACCTGATGGAGTTTTATCCACTCCAAGTAATTTGGTGTCATCTGCAAATTTGACTAGCTCACTGCCCTTCCGGAACCCGGTATCATCTGTGCACTGTTTGCAACACAGGTCCTTGGAGGACCCCTGAGTTTACGTTCGTCCACTGTGAGAACTGACAAGTTATTCCTGCTCTCTGCTTTCTGTTCTGCTTCTTCATGGCAAAGGTTTTTTAGACCTCTCCAGTGAAAAGTCCAGATACAGCCTTCATGAGACCATGAGCAAGATCAGAGCTCCCACCCAGATCATTTGGGGGAAACATGACAAGGTAAATGTTTATCTTAGTCATTTTAGCATTGCAGAAATGTAATAAAATGAAGATACCACATGTAAATGGGAACTATTTGGGTTCAGTAGCATTTCATTTCTAAAGGTTGCTACTGCTGGGAACTAAGAGAAACTGCAGCCTCCAAATACATTCCCCAGTAGGCCTTAGAAGGTAATATACCCTGCTCTAAGAAAGAAATGGCTGGAAACGCATCTATTTCTTGGTTTGCGAGTTTAATTCAGTGGTTTGCGAGTTTAATTCAGTGATGCATTGTGTCGAGATCTTTAAATGCAGGTGTAATTATATATACAGGTTCCAACTATTGACAATATAGTCAATAAACAACACCAGTAAATCTTGGCTTATATCTTAACATCATTTTGAATCTCCAGCAACCTGGTCTGGCAGTTGGTTGATGCCTGGCTGAATGAAATGCTGGACTAGACAGACCTTTGGTCTGATGCACGCTGGCTTTTCTTATCTTTCTAATGTGCAAGATCACTTTCTGGTGAATGATTAATGTGGTTCCACACATTTATTTAAATTATTTCTATTCTGTTCTTCAAACTCATTTTCTAAAATAGCTTCTGGTATGAAATCAAATATAAGAATTAAATATTTTAAAACCCATTAGAATTAACTCTCCTTGAGAATTCGGTTTTAAGGAGAGACATGTAAGACATGATGGGCACCAGAGCATTCTAAGAATACCTCAAGTGGTAAAGTTACAGGAAGTACAAATTTATAGCCCACCCAAACAGCTGAAGACGGCTTTCCGCAAGCATGCATAGAAAAATGGACTCTGAAGAGTCATAAAAACAACAATGGCTATAAGAGAACATTCTAGGAAAGAATGTTGAATTCTTGTCCCAGAAAGAAGGCAAATGATCTGGAATGAAGAAATATGCTGACCGCCTTCAGATGACTGAAATAGCAATAGAAGTGTAAGAGGCAAGTGGCTATTTGTGTTTTCACTTGTGCAGAAGCTACGTGGCTTCCTCGCCATGATTTTGTAACTCGGGTTGCTAATTCTTAGCAAAATGGCATGGGGATGGGAGGATTTTTTTTAAAGAAGAGAGAGCGTTCCCCCCTGTGGAACTGCTCCCTTTCCATGTTGTCCTAGGTACACACATAGGAGGAACTGAAGGATTTCGAGATGTGTGACTAAGAAAATGTCCCTTGAGTAAAAGGCAAGGCCAAAAATGAGAGAAGAGGAGAGGCAGCTGTTTTCAGCTATAGGAAAACAGTCTTAATTTCAAACTGGGAAACACTTCCTATCAAACTAGCAGATCAATGGAGGAAGATGCCTATAGAAAGTCGTCCTTTGGACATGTGAGTGGGATCTTGGATAGGGAAGAAGTAAATTTATCACTGAAAGATTCCCAAGAAAGTGGCAGGCCAAAACAGAGGATCAAGGAATGAAAATGGAGCCACCATCCATGACGGGCTGAACATTTTCGCCTTCTTGTTATAAAAGAGAGAGAGAATGGACTGACTCACATTCCTTAATTCTAAGCCTCTTTACTTCCCACAGTCATCCTTTCTTTGGAGGGAAATAATGGATTGCTCACACTGTTATAAAAGAGATCTAACTTCAGAGATTCAAAGAACGGCCAGGACAGCGGATAACTCCGCTAGCTGAGGATGATGGAAGTTGTAGTCCAACAGATCTGGACTGTACAAGGTTAGAGAAGGCTGACCTATGCTTGTTGACTAGCAGCTGCCCTCTAGGGTTTTAGATGTTCCCAGTTCTACCCAGGGCCCCATACTAATCTGCGTATGATAACCCTTGGAAAATTGGAAAACTTCCAAAATTAACAGTATTTGTAGTTGTCATAGGGGCCCCAGGACACTGCTTTGCCCGGGGCCCATGATGCTGTTAAGACGGCCCTGGTTCTACCTGCAGACATAGAATGGGGGATTCCCTCATTCTTGTACTACAGAACTTAGATATTTCACCAGAAAGTCTGTATTCTTGCATCCAGTTTTTAGTAACTTCTCTGCTTTTTCCATAGTTTTAAAATATGTGGACAGTGGGAGGGAAACAAATCTAATTCTTCATTATTCAGGTGATTGACCCTTCTGGAGCAGAGATTTTGGCTGATACCATTCCTAACTCCCAAGTGCATGTGCTGGAAAAATGTGGACATTTCATAGCAGTAGACAGGCCAAAAAAATCCACAAAGCTTCTCCTGGAATTCTACAATTCAGTCTGTGGCACAGTGGAAAACAAGATGTGAGCATAAACATCATTAAAGAACTGAGAAGATGGGAGCATTTCAGATGCTTTTCTACTTTGGAAAGAAAAATATAGAAATGGCAGTGTGGACGTCTGTGCTGGTTTCCTTCACTTGTTACAAGATCATTTTTTGAGGCTGGTCTTCCCTGACACTCACAACCTCAGATTATAGTGGGGATCATTACTCCCAAGCTGTTTTCATTCCTGTTACATATGTTAACCTATAATTACACTGTATTGAGGAAATGGCCCATGAATTCAAGATTAAAGACATATTAATATTGCGTTAAATAACTAAGTGGATGACTAGGTGCTTTTAGTCACCAGAAAACTATGATCTCAGAGCAGTTATATCATTTAAGCAAACTATTATTCAGGTCAATCATTCTGGTTTTGCAACAAAACTACCAAACTCCATGGATGTCCATGATCAGTGCGGTATAGTGGTTAGAACACTGGACTGAAGACCCAGGAGACCTGAATTCTAGTCCTGACTTGGCCGTGAAACTCACTGAGTGGCCTGAACCAGTCACTGACTCTTAACCTAACCTACCTCACAAGGTTGTCGTGAGGATAAAATAGAAAGCATGAGGCATGCCGCCTTGGATTCCTTGCAAGATTCCAGACTTAATCCTGCACTCATTCCCAGTCCAGCTTCTAACCACCAACACCTCATTGGCTCTCTAGGATGGTGCTTGAATATTAAACATGGTAATTCACATTCATAATATTTACACACCAGTATTAAATGTCATATTTAAATACATCATTAGAGCACTGTTTGCGCAACAACAATAAAAGAACTATATTTGAAATACACTATTAAAAACCGTTTAGAAACCAATACAAAACAGAACAATCCAACAAGAAATACAGTAGAGCAGTATATGAGCAGATGCAGCGCTGCACAAGCCAGAGAAGGCCCCTGTGAATGAATGTGTTTTGGGGGTGTTTCTGCCTCCCCAGCTGCAGGGGGAGAGCATTCGAAGGCTGGCCACTGCTGCTTTGACATATTACATGGAGATACTCTGCCGGTTGCAGGACAACCAGGAAGGCTTCCTGGGATCGCCTGAATGGGCAGGTGGGAGGAGGCCATCTACAGGGTATCCTGGTCCCATATTGGTTAGGCCTTTGTATATGGACAACATCACCTTGCAACACAGCTCAATAGTTAATGGGCAGCCTGGTGTTATGTCAGTTTGGCTGGGTGCCCTGGTGGGTATCCAAGGACTGCCTTTTCCACTAGCTATGGCTTCCGAACCAGGTTCAAGGGCAGCCCCACAGAGAGCTTATTCTCGTAGTCGAACCATGAAGATACCCGTGCGTGGATCACCCTGTTCAGGAACAGACATAGCTGCCACGAGGTTGGGAAGGGGTCCGGGCCACGCGGGTCACCTGGGTCTCCAGGGACAGAGACGGGTCCGGGAGCAGCCAGAGAAGCATAACTGCACCCAGAAGCAGCGTGCGGCCCAATTCCCAGAAGTGGGGAACCGCCAAGCTGATCCAGGGTCTGTACCTTATCAGGCTCCAGCTCCAGCATATTAGCCTTCCTCCAAGCCACAGCTCCATCCCGGTGCCAGTTCAAAATGTACACGGCATCTCTCAATTCAGAGAAATAGTGCCAGGTTCCTCAGCGCATTGGTGGCCCCTTACCCCAAAGCAAGGCTGCCAGTGGGTGAGTGCTCCTTGGTCGGTCCCCATCATCAGGCAGCTCTGGGCGAAGGGTGGCACCTTGTGGCGCCCCATCATTCACCTGCCAAAGTGCTGGTGTGACTTTGGACCCTGCCAGTCACAGCTGAACCACCCCGCACTCTCCGCTCACAGATGTGGTTCAGCAGGACGCTGTGGAGAGGACTGGGGCCCACAAGCCTGTCTCCTGAAGGCGGAGGGGAAACCCAGACGGGGATGGATCTGCAGGGTCAGCTGTGGCTGAGACACCAGCACCCTCTGGGCACTTGGCCAAGAAGGGGGCCTGTGATGGGGGGGGGCAGCTGGCATAGATCGCTGTGTCACAGGAAGGTGTTCTGCAGAATGGCTGCCCCCTTCCAGGCTGTGGCTGAGTGGTGCTGGGCTAAAAGCTTCTATAGTCCCAACAACATACCCCAAGTGCCCAATTACGGTGTAGCTCTTTGGCCTGAATCAGTTCACAAGCATCACAACACAAGACCCTGTTAGCTTCCTCCAGGCAAATTAACAGTTCCAGGCAGCTCTCCGGGTTCCCCAGATGTTGCTTTGAGGAAACCCTCGTGCCTGTGGGCCTGGTTGAGTGACAGAGTGGCCACTAAAGAGCACCGTCAGGCGTCTGATCTCGGCAGGGAAGCGTAACTCAGAGACGGCTGCTGCAGGTTTGACGCACCAGCTTTTCCCTGTTTAGCTGATGGCACTTCCTGAAGACCTGTCTCCTGTAAACTTCACCTCCATTTCCGTGACAAGGTCGGATCTTCCAGCTGTGGAAGATGGGCTGCATCACTACCCCATCTGAGCTCAGAAGCCAGTGGGAGGTCTAGAGAAAATGAAATCTCGGGCATTTGGTTTCATGACTGCCTCTACACGTTTCACCCCTGACTCAGAATTGGTGTCGCAGACTTTAGCTCCCTCCAGGACAGACTGAGGCCTTGCCCTGAGGCAGAGCAGGAGGACCCGGGCTCCTGGAAAAGGTGGCCATCATACCTCCTCCACCTGGTCCCTCTTGGGCGCAGAAGCAGATGCTGGGCAAGCTGAGAACCCTCCGGCCCAGGCAGCAAAGGGGCTACAAGCACAGGACAGGGCATGCCCCCCAAGGAATAAGACGCACGGTGAGGGGAAAGGTCCAGAGATCCAGAGGTGCAGTCTGGACAATACTTGTTGGAGGGCCAGTGAAACGGCTTTTAGCCTGTTCTGGAGGGAGCTGGAGTCCCCCTAAAGCAGCAGGCTTGTGGGTGTTCATAGCCCTCCTCTTGCCCCAGCGGCCTGCATGGTTGTGTACATTTTGGTGCCCTGTCTGGCCAGAGGTAGCCTCGTAACGGTGATTCACCAAGCGCAGGGAACTTGATTTCTTGGTATTGGCTAATATTTTTCTTCCACAGTGCCTTTTTTGGGATCCACAAAAAATGTTGGGGCTCTTTTGCTACACCAAGCATGTTTTTTAAAGTATTGTTTATAGATAGAAAACTATAAACTGAGGGTGAGATGTGGGGACCTTTTGACAGTGTCTGAGAAAGGCTAAAGTATAGGTCTACTCATGTGCAAATCATATCACAGGGTGAGCTGGCAGGGACTTCAAAAGCTCCACAAGGCAGATTGAGAAGTGAAGACTCCACCGCTCCTTTGTCTCAAGGGCCACGTCCGTTGTTGACTGGAATCTTACTATTTCTCTTCCATCTGGAAGATCAGAGGTTATAACTTTGCCTCAAATCAGAAAACAATGTTCCCCTGTATTAGGGATATGAAGCTGGCAGGCAGGCTGGCAGAGTCCCTAGGCGAGAATCCTGCCAAGTTCCAGAAGGACAGATTCCAGGACTAGGGAAGGATGATGACTACGAAAGCTGGTGAATGCCTTCTCTTTGTGAAAGGTGGTGGCATCAGAATAATTTTATGCTTTGAATGTTACGAGGCAGGAAGACACACTTCTGCAATCGGTCTGAGCCACAAGGGAGATTCCTGGGAGAGTCTGTGGCAGTACTAGCTGATCGGATGAACTGGGAAGGAAAAGTTGCTCGGTTGTTATCATTACACTGCATTTGCATCCCACCTTTATTCCTTTTGCGAGGAACTCAGGGAGGCTTACATAGCTCATCGTTATCCTCACAACAACAACCCTGTGAGGTAGGTTAGGTGAGAGTCTGCAAATGGCAGACTGATGGGCAGAGTGCAGGCTGTGGACCTGGGAGATCTGGCTGCTAGTCCCCACTCAGCTACGAAGCTCACTGGGTGACTTTGGGCCAGTCACTCATTCTGGGCCTAACCTACCTCACAGGGTTGTTGTTGTGAGAATAAAATGGCAAGGAGGTCTGTAAGCCACTTTGGGCTGCTTGCAAGAGGAAGAAAGGCAAGGTATACATGGAACACAATACAAATAATACAGGTTGCTACAAGTAATGAAAACATACCGGAGTGAGAGAGAAGAAGGGCAAAGGAAGGTGAAGGCTACAGCTGTGGCCAGGCGGGGTTCAGGAAGCAAGATCGCTCCCAAGGAGCGCCACTTTCAGCCAGTCTGGCCAAGGGACTCTGCACCCCTTCATAACAAGCCAGCATGAAGTTGCCCGGCTGAGTTGCAAGCCACCGAGTCTCCTAGAACAAGTGAGGGGGTCTTTGGAGGCTTCTTTGTGCGAAATAAGCCCCCTGCAGAAGCTGCACCAGGCTTGGACAGTGCAGTGGGCAGGTGCAGTGCCCTGTGGTCTTACCAGGCCGTGGTGCCGTTCTGCCCACTGCGTGCTCCCTCCTCATCCTGAGCCCCCAGGCACAATTCTGACGATCTCCTATCTAGTTGAAGGGTTTTGAAGGGTTTGTGGAAGCTTGCCGGCAAAGCTTCATCTGTTGTTCTACCTGCATTAAGTTCTTGTGTCTGTAGACCGGGATTATTTAGGATATGGGGATTATCATTTCGAACAATGAAGATCACTGAGCAATTTTTTTTTAAAGGACCAGAGGAAATCATGCTGCAGCATAATTACAATCATCTCACCACCTGCACAATGACCCTCATCAGGCAAATGCAATTCCCATCTGTGACGGAGCTCATCCCAGCCGCTGGACTCATCTTCATGACTGGCTTTGAAATGGCACGCCCGTTTTTTTAGGGACAGGCTGGTAGACAAGCTAGATTCATTCTGCTGATTGTGTTTCATAATAATCCCAAGGCAGGACTAAGAGGCAAACACTGAAATACAATCGGAAACCCCTTTTAGCAGAAGTCTGCACTCTGGGGAAGGGCTGAACAGTTGCTCCAGTTCACATGTCCATGACCCGTGTGCAAAGTCATGGGAGGCTTGGAGGAGGCAGCGGACACGTGACAGCCCTAAA